AGCTGCCTGGCCAGTTCCCGGGCGTCAGAAGGAGATCAGAGGATCAAGACAAGACGCGCGCCCCAGCACCAATGCTCCCGCTAAGCTGTGGAGTCCTGTGAGCAAAAATTCTACTTTGTGAGCTACCAGCATTAAAGTTGTGAGCAGGCAGGTGATTCGGCTGCTGCATAAATTGGTTTGCTCTGGACTGGAGCCCTCCTTCCTGAGCCAAGACGAAAATGTGTGAGGGTAAAAAACAGAGCTAGCTCGCCCTCACTCAGCTTAGAGGGAACACTGCCCACCAGCACTCAAAGACAGCCCCAAACCACAGGTTTCCTTTGGCCTGGTGGGGCCAACTGACCTGATTGTATTTGTGGAGGTCAGGGAGGGTTGCGTGGCCAGCGGAGCGGTACGGCTCTTTTCACGAGTAGCAGAAGCGGCTTAATCCACACACCTAAATCAGCATCTTTACCTGCTTGGCATGATTCATTCCGCTTTGGCCTGTGCCCAGTTCCGATTATCTGTTGCCAAACGTTCAAACGTGACATCCTCAAAGGAAATGGCTTGATTGTGAGATGGCACGGGGGAAGGGCATTCCAGTGAGAGGGAAGATCCCCTCTCTGGTGGAGCAAACAGCGGCTGGTGGGGCAGTGTATGACCACCTTCCCCTCCTCTGGACGGGGCCGCCCACCACTCCCGGTGCAAGGTGAAAGGGGTCAGCCCAGGTGGCCAGTGCGGCCAGCTACAATTCGTTAGTCGTTAACCGGCTAAATATCAGGAGAAACTTCCTAACTGTAAGAGTGGTTGAGCAGTGAAACAGACTGCCTCGGGAGGTGGTGGAGGCTCCTTCGCCGGACGTTTTCAAGCGGAGGCTGGACGGCCATCTTTCGTGGATGTTGCAGGGCTGTCTTTCGGCTGTGCTCCCGCAGAGTGCAGGGGGTTGGACTAGATGACCTGCAAGGTCCCTTCCGACTCTAACATTCTATGATTCTGTAATTAGTAATCGGAGGCAGCAGGTCAGAGGATTGCTCCCTGCCCCCCTCCAAATGCCCTCCCAGGTCTATACGATAGACTTGCTTCTGCAAAGAAGTCCCCCTTCCCTACATACATGGCGTACAGTCAAGAATTAGGCTGCTACCTTTCTTGCACTGTCAGCATTGTGTGTGTGTGTGTGTGTGTGTGTGCGTGCGTGCACACATGTGTGTGTGTGTTTTTATCAAGCCGTGAGCACTCCGCTCCTTCAAGTGATAAGCCCTAAACCGGCCAAGACTGTCAGTCTGAGTTGGAGGGTTTAGAAATATTGGGACGAATAATTAGATTTCATATCGTTACCGCTGCAGCCATCGAAGGATCAGGCAGATTAATTTTTCCCCCCTCTCTGTCTCTCTCTCTCTCTTCCCCCCTGTCACTGTCCCTCCTCTGTCTCACTCTCTCTCTCTTCCCCTCTCTGTCCCTCTCGCTCTCTACCGTGCAGAGGGGGGTGGCCGGATGGAATCGGGGGGGGAGGCCGGGGCAGCGTTCACAGAGGTCCCTTCCCCGTCCTCCCAGACCCTCCCCCCCCCGGGTCCAAGAGGGTTTCCCCACCGTTTTATTTCCTACATGAACCCCCCCGTGTTGCATAAGGGCCGTTGCATGTTTGGTCCTCTTTCCTAATCCCGGTCCCGACCCCTTATTTACATCACAGGCATCCCTGCACACTGAATTCCACATCTTTATGCGCGAGGCCTTCCTCCGCAGTCCGCGTCTCCTGTAACAACGTCAGGGCCATATTTAGTCAGACTTGGCGTAGCCGTCGGTGTGTCGGAGAAGCCGTTCCCGCTTCTTTGGAACAGGGGCAGATTGTCCCGGGTCACTTTGAAGGGACGTTTGGATTCTGACACGTCTCAAAGTGTGATGATGCAAAGGGCCGTCCAGTCATAACCCAGTTATGGCTACCCCGTTGGGTTTCCAAGGCGAGAGGCGAAGAGAAGCGGTTTGCCATTCACGGCCTCTGTAGAACAACCTTGGACTTCCTGGGTGGTCTCCCATCCAAGTACTCACCGGGGCTGACTTTGTGTAGCTTCCAAGATCCAATGAGGCTGGTCCAGGCCAGCCCATCCAGATCAGAGCAGAGAAGTGTGTTGTTGTTGTTGTTCAGTCGCACAATCGAGTCCGACTCTTTGCGACCCCATGGACCCCGTCACGCCAGGCCCTCCTGCCTTCTGCTGTCCTCCAGAGTTCGCCCAACTTCATGGGCTCAGTGGCAGAGCATCTGCTTGGCATGCAGAAGGTCCCAGGTTCAATCCCCCG